AGTAAATTTACTCGCAGGAACAAGTAAACACGGAATACTTTTGTTTCCCTCGAAACTCCAAACTCAATTCAAAATTGACTGTTTTTGGTCTAGTTGACGGTGATAAGTAGTTTTTAACGGAAAGTTTGAAGAGGTAAATCCTTCGCATTTCCCTCTGGATTAAACGCGAGGCGACGAAATTGAGGCGTGGAACAGCAGGAACTCACGAACAAGCAAACGAGCGTGCGATCAAACGCTAAATAAACAATATCATGATGTTCCCCTATTTTACCTTATCTGGTGCTCAATCTCCATTTTCGGCCGCATCCAGTATTCGATCATTTCAGTCATGTTCGTATTCTAGGGAAAATTTCGCTCGTAGAACAGGTTGGCCTGCAAAAATAAACACCCCCTTTTTCGAAGGGGGGTAGGGTGTGAAAGTAACAATTACAAGTAACAAAGTAACAAAATTCTCCATGAATGCTCGTGGCGAGCTTCAGCTTCAGCACACTGCATCAATTTTCTTATGATGGAGAGAGTAGAACAAGTTGAGGGAAGGCGAGCCCTTGCGAACCGGCAAGGACCTCAAAGACCCCGAGGAGCGTTGATAAACAAGGGGGCTATCTGATAGGTGCAGGTATAGAAAATCAAGTGGTGCTCGGAAAGCAGAGCGTCAAAAATAAGTGGGCGATATTACGACATCTTTTGCGATTAGAGCAGAGGGATCGTACATTCCTCAAGAGGTTTTTTTTTTCGAGGCTTTTTAAAGCGAGGAGCTTCGAAAGAGACTTTACCGAATACATAATTGACGCTCATTCCTTGCTTCGAATCTCTCGGGATCCATTCACTTTGCCGTGTCGTCCCCGTTCTCCTACGTGCTCAATTTCTGCTCTGATCCAGGATGAACTCTGGATTCCTGGCAAGAGGCCACGTCGCGTCAAACTCCTCGAAAGGTTTTTTCAGTAGGGTAGCAGAAATATCTGGGAGAAATTTCGGAGACTGCAAGAAAACGCTCCTCGCGGCATTCCGACGGGATATACTGTTATTGTTTCTCTCGACAAAATCACAGAAATCACATGGTTTCAATTATGGACACCACAAAAAAAGGAAGACGCCCGCGCTACCGAAAAGTCGAACATAGAAGTTCAGAAGGAGTTAAAATGGGCGAGGCGTTCAGTTCTTACGTAAATTGGACCATGCACTAGATCATATTCATCTCCCCCTTTCCCCCTCACTTGTGTTTCGCTTAAAAAGGGAGTGGACAGACCAAATGAAGGTGAATAAGTTTTTGAAATTAATTATTCATTTTCAAATCCCCCAACATTCTCTTTAACTGCCGTCAATGTAGACGATGTCGACTGCATTGAACTGAGTTGGCAGACATACATTTTTTTAATCGCTATTAAATCGTATCCCGAATGCGGCATTCGAGGGCCTCAGCCGGATTCGTCACTCGCGAGCATCTGAGAAACAGAGAGAACCTCAAGTGCCTTCGTGGCGATAGTGAGCCTGAGGAGGGCAATGAGAGGAGGTCCGCCACGATGGCAACGCTGGAGGTGCTCGCTTTCGTCGCCCTCTCTTTCTGTCTCCAAGCAGGTGGGCTCACATGGGGCTAATGAAATATTTATCTGGGGTAATAATTAATGTGTCCAGAATAATGTATACATTTGAAACAAACTTACTTTAGGTAATGCAATATATGTAATAGTAAATATAATAATTCATCGCTAATATTACATTATTACTAGCGAATTTGTTTGGTCTATGGTTAATAGCTATGGTTGCGCCTTCGCCGCTCCATTGTCCAATATAGTGATTAATTCATTAACTTATATTCAATGTAGGAAAAACGTATTAAAAGTATGTGCCTCTCGAAATGTGTATCGAGAAGGAACGAACCGATATTTTGTACCGAAATAATTACTCCGATTGTTTCTAGTGTGCCTTTAAACTTAAAAAAAAGAACATCATAATCTGCCATAAGGCTATTTGATGAGTAGGATCTGCACTCAATCGAACAGGCACTTCTGAGCCAATTTTCACTTTTCTGTAGTTCCCTCTTTCATTGGATCAGAATGGATTCCAGAAAATGCGCCATTTGCAGAAAAATGTGCCTTCAGGGGTATTACATAAAAACGAATATTTTTTTGCTGAAATCAGTATTCGGAGAACCACGTACATACCAAGTTTCAGCCTCATCCGTTCGCTCTTTTTGCCAATGGAAAAGTATATTTGGAAACCCCGATGCAGCCCAAGAGCTGTGCCTGATGGTATGCACCTCAAACCTTGAAATTTTTCTTCACTCACGCATTGGTGCGCAAGGTTTCACCTTTCTATTTCTGCCCAATTTGGTAGGATAAAGAAAATTTATTTGAAAACGTCACAAAACAAATATATACCTCCGGTCATATTTTTTTTTCGGCTTCCGAAACTAGAAAATTTTCATGAACTTAAAGTGTCGGTAAGCACGTATGTATCAAGCTGAGGTATTCCATGTTCCACTCGTTTGACTAAAGCAAAAAAAAAACATTTAAAAACATTTCGCCTTGAAATTTGCGGACCCGGGACATCTACCTCCTAAGTCAGCTTTTTTCTGAACTCTGCATCCCAAAAGGTACAAATGTACCAAGTTTCAGATTTCTAACTTCTCTTTCTAACATGGTTAGAATTGACGTCACTCAGTCACGATCGTCTGTTTCTTTAGATATTGTTTAACACTTTATTCTTTGACGTCGTTTTGAAACCTGTCTCGTTCTGCATGTTTTCGTATGAGTTTGTTCGTTCGTTTCCATTCTAAGTTCAAAATTGCCTTTGGCTTTTCAGGAAGCAACTTTTATTCTAGTGTATATAGACGATCGCGGCTGAATATATGAGTGACGGACGGGAATTCTACAAATGTACTATGTGTGGTGGAAACCTGAAACTTGGTACGAAAGACACAGAGCTGAAATATGGTGGAGAAGTAGCACTCCACTCAGAGAAATCGATGCTTCGAAAGGATGCAATTCGTTCAATTTTCGCCTTTCCATTTATTTTCTTTATTCAAGGGGGAGTGGCATCACCTGCGACATGATGCTGTTAAAGGTATGCTCTCCTTCCTCCCTAAAAAAAAACGTAGTTTCGCAGTATCGATCTCTCGCAAAATATAAAACACAAACAAGGAAGGTGCCAGCGATCACCAACAATTCGAACGGAGGAGTACAGAATCTCTTAACTGTGCGAGGCGTGAAAGATACCTATTTCCTGTGAAGTGGAACTTAGCATTACATCGTGAGGCCACGTTATTTTCTCCCTTTCTCTCCTGGTGTTTCATTCGGAAAATGGATCGACTGACCGAATGAAAAACAAACGTATTGATAGATTCATTGATGGATTACCAACATTCCGCTCACGATCACTGCATTGTGCCTCAAAGCAAACGAAGTTGACGGATACAAATGCCTCAACTTCAGGTTAATTCCCATTCCCAAGCCGATAGTCGAAATATCTCCCGTATGAGACACTCACACGCATCACGTAAGCATCTTGAAATAGCCTCAAGTGCTCTCGAGGCGGCAGCGCAATAGGGCCAAAAGCTAAACAAAGAGACAACGCGAGGGGTCTGCCACGATGGCAACGCTGGACCCGCTCTGACTCGTCTGTCTATGTCGTTTATTTTGTGATGCTCTGTTTGCGGCTATAAGCTGAACACAACGAATATTTTAGGCAATGGAATTCGTATGTGATTCTCATTGAAGTCATCACTACGAGAATTACTTCTAAACAAATTTTACCAATCTCTATATTCGGAATTGGTTGAAGTGGGAAGGGTATATGTAAGTGCACATGGCGCAAGAAATACGCCCTGAGTGAATACTGCATTTATGTAAAAGTTCAGGTGATTCCGTAACTGGGGAATCCAATGTATACTTATGTATCAATTTTTCGCTAAGTCTCCATGTTTCGTTGGGGCGAAAATATCATTGACATATGTAATCATCAAGAAATGTTCCCAAGGGTATTTACCTTCAAGGTAAAATTTTTTACTTTGAAAAGTACCAAAGGAACGACATACTCGCGGTGTCTGGGCCTGATATATTTGCCCGTTTTACTGGAGCAAAAATGCATACAGAAACACCGGTTCTGACCGGTGTCCTGACCGGTGTTCTGACCGGTGTCCTGACCGGTGTTCTGACCGGTGTCCTGACCGGTGTTCTGACCGGTGTCCTGACCGGTGTTCTGACCGGTGTCCTGACCGGTGTTCTGACCGGTGTCCTGACCGGATGTGAGTCCTGAATACGATAATTCCTAAAGCAAACATCGCAGCAGCGATTCGTGTCCCAAGTTTCGGTTTCTACTTCTACCTGATTCACTGGAGGAAATTTTTTTCTTCAAAATATATATCCCACAAAAATATGTCCCTATGTTATTCACCTGAGGAGTGACAATTTTTATCGCCATGTGCCNATTCGTGTCCCAAGTTTCGGTTTCTACTTCTACCTGATTCACTGGAGGAAATTTTTTTCTTCAAAATATATATCCCACAAAAATATGTCCCTATGTTATTCACCTGAGGAGTGACAATTTTTATCGCCATGTGCCATGTTCATATCTAGTCTAGTCTAGCTCTCCGTGTTTCTTCGTTCCACTAAAAAAATTGTTTTTTCCCCGAAAGCATCCGCCCCCCCCCCCTGGGAATTTGTCCCCCCCCCCCCCTGGTAACGTACCTCCAAAGTCTGATATTTTCTGAGCTTGGCATCCCATTACCCAATTGTGCACCAATTTTCAGATTGGTACCTCATGTAGAACGTGAAGAGATCTGGCGTCAGCCACTCAAGATCATTTTCATGTATTAGATGGCTTATTTAAAAAGCTGTAGGGTTTGACGCTCAATAGTTCAACTTGCTTTTTGTCCCGCTCGCATTCATACAAGTGAATCGGTCCATATGCAATCCTGGTTGCATGTAACTTTTGTCTTTTGAAAAGGCGAATTACATGTTAATTTCCTTACTTAATTTCGCAATTAACATTTTCCATCTGTAATGTTCGACCTGTTACAAAAACGGCGCGACATTGCCTCATTCACGTCGCTTCAGCGGAGACCAGCCTCATCGAGTGCAATCCGACGCTTTTCAGGTGCATCCCCCGGCCAGAGATACCTGGATGGCCCCTGCGAGGTGGACGGCGACTGCGGCATGGACCTCTTCAACCTGGAATGCGTGGATGAAATCTGCCGGTGCAAGGAGGGATACGTGCCGGCCGACGAGATGAAATGCAGTTGGTCGATGCCCATAATTGGTTTCTTCTTAATTATTTTTTTTTGCCGTCGAAAGAGCGTTACAAGTCGTCGAAACCTCGCTTCACGGCACTTTTTCATTTCTTGAGTTTACTTTCGATATAATCTATGCGGCACTCCAACCAGAACTTTGAAGGGGAAAGGTCTCGTTTTTTATTGGCGAGAGGTTGCTTCACCCAAAATTGTCTCGCAACGGTTCGGCAAATCATGTGAAAAACTTAAGTAACCAATCATAGCATTCCCGAAAAAACAGCTGAGCTTCGGAGTAGATACTGTCCTTGTTTTCTCCTTAATCGACCGGAATTTCCGTTCGGCAATCACGGCAAATTCAATATCGTTGGAAATTCATCTGCCTCTTTGATTCTAATTTGCAGTGCACGAAAAGACGTGCAACGTGGGTACAAGAGACAGCTGAATTTTTTTTGCAACTTTAGCTCCATCTGCGAATAACCCGAGTGCCTTAAATTGATTAAGTGCCTTTAATGCCGCACTTGCTGGACCAGCTGGAGAGAAGTGTAGACTGCAGAATTGGCACGTGATCGACTTTTTCGCAAAGCACTCCAAATGCCATTTCCACTGATCATCTCAAGTGGGATTCATTAGATTCGATCATTAGTTTCATTAGCGTTCCCAGCGCGAAGACGCGTCGAATCGCTTCGAGAAAAAAAGCTCTAAGTCTGGGTCTCCCCTGGGTGAGATTCTCATAGCCGTTACGTAAATGTCTTCAAATGGCCTCAAATGCTTTCAAGGCGTCTTATTTTGGTTTGTGGGCTATCGCTATATACTTGAGGCACGCGTAGCTTCTACTGCGTCATTCCTTGGATTGTCTATATGTACCATACATTCATTCATGAGTGGGATGGGGAGCGATACATGTCCATTCGGTATAGGCATGACGAGAGCCAAGCGGGGATAGACTGCCCCGAGGCTCGGGATCTTTGAGAGCTAACGCCTTTTCTTTTCCTGCCGTACGTAGTCCGGTTTCTTAAAATCAATATTGGGGGAAAATTCTTTTCTTTCGGACGAGGTCTCACAAGGGCGTTGCATGTCCCGTCGATTCTCCATTTAATCCTACGATGTTGGTGCAAAGAGGAGTTTCACACTTTTCTTTGTTCGAATCTCTCCCTGATTCGCTGGAAATGGGATTGGGAAACGGCATGAGCTGCTTCACTTGCTTCAGCTGCCGGGGATTCACATTATAAGTATTTGTTGATACTTTGTTTGCCGGAATATTACATACTTTTGAAAAATAAATACTTTAAGTAATGCAATGTACTTAATAATTATGAGTATGTAATAATTCCAGGCTAATAGCTTTCTTTTTATTATCACACTCCAAAGTTTTCCCTTCGAGGAAAGAAACTCCCTATGGTCGCGCCCAAGGCGCTGGACGATCCAGGAAAACGGTCCGTTCCTTGGATGGAACCGTTAGTGACCATCATGGTGAAATTTATTGGGTTGTGAACATAGGTGTGTGAATATAGGTTTGTGGATAGGGCTCTATGTTTCGTTGTATTGAAAATATTATTGAAATATATATCCACCAAGAAATACGACGTGATGGATTTACATCAATCGTAAAAGAATATGTATTCAGGGCATTTGTTTCAACATGGTGAAACCACCTCCAGGGTTCTACTCGTTTTCGCAATTACTTTGGACGATTGTGGATTGTGCGCCCAAAATAAAAGGTTCGCATGACTTAAAAAAAAATTGTTTTCACCGTACATGAATACATGCTTCAATATTAAAATGCATTAGGGAATCATTGATGCTGAGATATTGCTGCTTCTGCAAATGAGAGGGGAGGTAAGACACGTGAGAGGGGAGGTAAGACACGTGAGAGGGGAGGGAGGGGAATGGGAGGAAAATTGTTCCGGTCTCCCCACCGGTCGGCACTTGTGGCGCAACGCGCATGACGCGGCGTTCTCAATTCAACAAGTCTGCTTTTCAATGCAGCTCGAGACTCCGAGATCTGTATATAAACAGGAAAGCGTGGGATGATAAGGAAGCCATGGGAATCACAAATGGGAACTCGGCCATGAACCAAGACGCGATCTCGGGATAGAGCCGGAGATATGATTATCCACTTCTAGAGATTATCCGGAGCACATCAGTCCGATTGAACGAATGGAAAATCTTGAAAACAGAATTCAACTTCGGTATTTACATATAATTCCGAAAATATCTGATATTTGAGCGAGCCGTGCTTCACAAGGGCATCACAAACGTCACCCCGACGTGAGACAACTATCAGACGTCGACCTTAAGCGCTGTTAAGTTGATTGCGCAATCGGATGCTCTCATTCCTCATAGGTCGTAACGGTTGAGCCCCCCCAAAAGGGCAATGAGGGGGCTCCTTGCTCGTTTTACTTGCTCATCCTTCTTCGATATAATTCCTCTAATATAGACAAATGATCCAAATGATCCAAATGATCCAAATGATCCAAATGATCCAAATGATCCAAATGATCCAAATGATCAAAATTATCCAAATGATCAAAATTATCCAAATGATCAAAATTATCCAAATGATCAAAATTATCCAAATGATCAAAATTATCCAAATGATCTAAATTATCCAAATGTTCTGAATGATTCAAATGATCCAAATAAATATCCTCCAATAACTGTGCCCTCATTCTGGAAGGTATCGCGCGTACAGTATCCACGTCTCTCGACTTCCGTCAGCATCTTGCAATCCTCAATGATGCTCCACGTCTGAAATAACGCCGATTGGGAAGTTGTTACACTTTTGAAACGGTCTCGCGAAATGGGTACGAGATCGCAATTAACGAGTTTGTATTGGTTCGCCCGCGTAATACCCGTAAACCCCGAAAAAAAAGGAATAATATAATTTGAAGCGAAGTCGAGCTCAACAGCCCAGCTGTTAGCGAATAGGAAAATTTGACGCTCCATATCAGCAGTGAAGTCATCGCCGCAGCGTCCTTGTAGATAAGACTCGGATCGGATGACATGCAATAGAAAATAATTTCTTTTTCCAGAATAGTCCATAACAGAGATGTTCTACGTCTCAAAGGCCCATCATTTGCGATTGAAGGGAAAACTTTTGCCCTCGGGACTAAAGAAATTTAGTTTTTTTTTCACCGTCGAAAATTCGGGAATTCTTTCCTTCCGCTAGGTCGGGCTGCGCATATAATGCGATTTTTCATATATATATATATTTTTATTATTATTATTATTATTATTATTATTTATATTATATATTTATATATTTCATATATATGTAATTTCATATTTGGTAGAAGAAGAAGGTTGACCTACGATCGTGCTATTACTGTACCGACAGGTAGCCATTCCATAATGGCTGCATAGATGCAACGGTGACGTCTTACGACTCTTGAGACTCGAATTTTCACTTAAATTCATCTTGAGGCTCGAATATCCACGGATTCATAATTTTAAATAAATAAATAAATGTTCAATCATCGGTTTGACATGCGTCAAATTTTACACCGACCCTTCCCTGTGCCGACTGATAGAACTTTAATTCCTAATGGGGTTTAGTGTGAAAAAACGCACAAGACTCTCCCAAACCCAACTTTGGAGTTAGGCACATTTTGGATGAGCTTCATGAAACTGATTCAGCATGAAAAATTATGCACGAATTAATGCTATTTTCATACATTTTAGAGGAACCTGGATTGGGCGAGAACTGCACGGTGGAGGTCGACTGCAGCCTCCCCAACGCGGACTGCGTCGAGGGGCCCGACGGAGTGTGGACGTGTCAGTGCCAGGAGGGGAGCCACGCCACGCCGGACGGAGAGCTCTGCAGTGAGAGGCTTCCTCCTCTGGCATGGGATGGGCGAAACGAGTGACGGTTGGCCGTGGGGGGGGGGGGGGGGGGGGACACCTCAGCGAAAATCGTTTTCGACTAACCTGCGGTTGTTGTCTATGGTTATCGCTTTACGGTGGTTCTCAGAAGAGGAAATTAGGAAGGAAAAAATAGGGAAGCGAATGGACCTTCTTGTCGCGTGGCGTCTTGCCCTCCGTTGTGCTGTACCCTCCAACAATGTCTGATTTTAATTGTCCCCGAAATTGCATTTTGATGAAGCACTTCATCAAGTTCTCTAAATGTGTCTTAGGAAGCACGACAGGTATCAGAAGAAGAAACTTGAAGTTTCTTGAGGTCTTCCGGTCGTTTACTTCGAGTTAGTCGCAGTCCAAAAAATTCACGAGGTCAGATGCGATCTACCACGCGATCAAAATTCGGTCGTAAAAATTCGGTCGTAAAAATTCGGTCGTAAAAATTCGGTCGTCAATTCAGTCGTCAAAACCCTCTAGATGCGGACATCCCACCCAGCGGTGACTGCGACCACGACCCGGCAGGCTGCGTCGAAAACGCGGATTGCATCGACGGCACGTGCCAGTGCGTCAATGGATCCAAACCCACGCCGGACGGATTCTGCCGTGAGTAACCGGCGTCGAAAATTCCACAAATGGTTTTTTAAATTAAATTATTTACTTTTAAAAATTACCAGAATATCCGTGAATGTTTGCAGAATATTCCCTCCTGGGGGGCCCGTGCGAGGACGCGTCCCACTGCGAGGTGGAGCACTCCATCTGCGCCAACGACACCTGCGAGTGCGACGACGGGTACGTCCCGGAGTCCAACACCACCTGTCGTGAGTACTTCATAGTACTTCTCTTGGTACTGTGGATTACATGTACCCCAGTGCATGTTCTAGTATCCGCTGCCCAACGTCAGCCTTTTTTTCAAATGACATTGTAGTCATTTGAATTGACACGTTTTATTTTTTAATGATACTTTGCATTTTTTAAATAATAATATATAGTCATAATGATGCAATAAGTACTTCCTATACTTTTTATTATTTGAAATACTATTTTCAGAAATGTCAGTAACAATTTTCTTCAGAGACAGGAAATACCATAAATCTAATTTTTTTGTCGCAAAAAAAGCCGTAGCATCATTTCGGATGCGGCGGAAAATCGCCAGTTCCGCAGTCCCGATTTCGCACGCAAAATTTATTTTCCGCAGGGTTGCCCGTCCTGGGCGAGGGTTGCGCGGACCACGTCGGCTGTGACGCGGCCAACTCCGGGTGTTTCGACGGGACCTGCTCCTGCCTCGAGGGATTCGTCCAGGTCGACGGGGAATGCAGTGAGGAACCGCGCGCATCATAGGCAACTAAGTACCTTATAATAATTTAAAAAAAAAACATTATAGTAATTTATTTTAACGGAGGAACTCGCCCTGCTCGGCGCCCTGTGGAAACAAAATTGGAAATTCGTCTCTTGTAAAAAAAAAATTAAAATAATAATTTGCAGATCTATCAATCCGCCGTTTTTTTTCGGCAATTCATGCTCCTAACGTGTTCGAATTATACGATATAGTTTGATATTCGCCATCGGACAAGGAAGCCATCGAAAGGCACTGTGTATGCGATCTACGTTATCATGTTTATGCTTATGTCATTAAAACCTTTAAAATTACTGCCTTGAGAGAGAGAAAAACAATAATAATTCACTTATACAATAAGCTTCATAAAGCATCGAGCAGGACGCATTTTGTGACACCCAGTATTTGAAATGACAAATGGGAAGAGATATAAGCTTAACTGAAAAAAAAACTGTAAACTGCGAAAAGACCGTCAATTCCAGCGAATGTTTATCTTTCGCCAAGTGGGAGTTCCTGCATTTGTTCATGCAATTTTCAATTGCCAATTCGGTCTTCCAGAAGAGCCGGGAATCGGAGAGAGCTGCAACGACGAAGTCGGCTGCGGGCCCGTCCACTCGGCCTGCGTCGAGGGGCAATGCGCCTGCGATGCGGGATACGTACACGATGGGGAGAGATGCAGTGAGGCGCCACGTGACATCTCGGGGAGCGGGGATGTCGCGTGGCGCCCCCTTTCATGCTCGCTCGGTTTGTGACAGGGATGCCGGACCTGGGGGAGAACTGCACGGACGTCGTCGGGTGCGAGGCCCAGCAGGACGTGGAATGCATCGATCAGATGTGTCAGTGCGTGGAGGGATACTTCCAGAATGGAAACGGCATTTGTGGTGAGTCCTATCCTCTTCGCAATGCGAGACGGCATGCTCGGACCCTGCACATAATACGACTGGGGAATGCATTGTGGAGGCCCGCAGAGGCTTGAGCGAAAGATCCTCTGAGGGGTAATTTTTCGCTCAAACCTTTCTGGAGCCAGTCGCCACGAACCATCTTCAGAAATTAATTATTCAAAATCTGTTATCTTTATTTCCGCAAAGTTCCGAATCTTGCCGCAGTCCACTCTCATCAGGGTCGACCGTTCTACCAGCCACTTGAAAGAAAGGGCCGAATAAGGAATTTCGGGTTGTACGCATGTCTGTCCTTCTGCCACTCTTAGAATTGAATCCCGATTTTTTGGCATGGCAATTTAGTAAAAGGGCTCTTAAGCACTTCCCATTCGCGTCTTCTGCACGCTCCATCGCCTTGTTTGGAAAGCAAAATTGTCATAACCTGTCTTGGCATGACGAAATGACTACACAGGTCCTGGTTTAGAGCTTAACATACGCAGGTCACCTGCACAAACAGGAGCTGTCACTGATCCGAAAGGCGTGCACATTTTCAGTAAGATTGAAATTCATGTCATCCTGAGAACCAGGTGAATGTCGCTTGGAAATTGCAAAAACTCAACGCTTGAAAAATTTGCACTAAATTCATGAGCGCCTGGTTATGCACCGGACCGTGTAGACTTTTTATCCCTTAAGACTTTCAAATTATTTTACATATAGAAGCAGAGTGTATCATATTAATATTCTTGGAATAATGAACTGGGTATGGAAATGAAAGCTCGATTTCTGTTCATTTGTTTTTATTGAGGCTCTGATGGCTCGCCCTTGCAGAGAAGAAGGTCGGACTCGGCGAGGCCTGCTTCCAGGACGAGGCCTGCGAGGCGGAGCACTCCGCGTGCATCGAGGACGTCTGCAACTGCTCCGCTGGATATATATTGTTCGAGGATTGGCAGAACGAACTCAAATGCCGTGAGAGCACTCGCCATTTCTCGTCAGTGCCATGCTTGCTTCACGCTGTAAGGGTGCAGAAATTGGCGGAAAGAAAAAGAGAGAAAAATTCGTATGCATGGCTAGACTTATGCATAATCTTGAACATAATTCTTAAGCATAATTCTTAAGCATACTCATTAAGCATACTCATTAAGCATACTCATTAAGCATACTCATTAAGCATACTTATTAAGCATAATCTTAAGCATAATTCCCCCAAATCGCCAATTTTTGATGAAATTATAATTTTTTCATGAGCACTGAACGGACTACACTTCCTCCAGATTTTTTTTTTTTGCAGATCGACATTTTTTCCTTTCAGTTCTTCTATCGTAAATGTCACTGACGAATACGCCTCTTCGTGGCGCAGGGACTACGCATTTGGAAGAACGCCGTCAATGGTCAATGGCCGTCGATGGTCGCATAGATTTCTCGCGAAGGGTTTAATTGCGGAAAGTTCGCGATTTGGGATTTCCGTTCCTGCTCGCGAAGATCGGAACCAGACCGCAGAGAGTATTTTTCACCTTTCCCGAATGCCTGATAGAAAACTAACATGATTTTTATATGAATCGAAGATAAATTCTACACATGATTAAGCATACACATGGTGAAGTGCAAATATAATGAAGCTGAACGGTAGCGATAAGTCAAATAAACTAAAATTTCTCCGGAGAACTGCTATCCGACGTGAATGACATGCTTGACATCATCCATGACATGCTTGACATAATCCATGACATGCTTGACATCATCCATGACATGCTTGACATGAACCATGCCTTGCTTGACATCATCCATGCCGTGCTTAGCATCAGTTGACCCTCGCCAATTTTGTTCATCTCACAGTTTCATCTCACATTTGAAGCAAATATTTTGCAATATTGGGAACTAACATGACAATTCCAAAGGTATGACAAGGATGCATCAATATTTTATATATTTGCTTAGCATGCGTGATCGTCGAATTGCTGCACGGTCTGGACAAGAATTTCTCTTTCTTTCCTCTCCAGCAAAAAGTGACGTTCAGTGCAATGGAATTTTCGCAATTTCTCACGTTTCCTCGAATTTGCGATACCGATTGCAACTCCCGAATCTTCAGGGGAACGGGATGGAAAAACGGCAATACCGTTTTGCAGGAAAATTTTCCAGAATATTGCTTACCGGTAAGGTTTCCTCGCAAGGGGCATGAGGAACCTTTCCACGGAAACGGGGAATCAGAACGGCTAATGCGCTCCACACATCGCTGCAGTGGTCGTATCAATGTCGTGTCAGATGATTGTATCGAAGCTTGTTTTGCGGGCATCGTCAGAGAAGGAAATTTTAATTATTTTAATAATTGTTAAAATGAAATTTTAATTATGTTAATGTATAAGTGAATATATTCCCATGCCAGGGACGCCGATTTTGGGAGAAGAATGCCATCCCGACGTTGGTTGCACAGAGAACATCACCGAATGCCAGGAAAACTTCTGCAAATGTTCACAGGGATACGTCGAAGAGGATGCAAGATGCAGTAAGGAACATTCGCGATTTTCGACTGTCATTTGAAAGGTCAGGGACGTTAGGGAGGAAGTTCCAAGACTTTCGTATGGACCTTAATCTAATGCGAATTTTATCGATGTCGAATAGAAAGTATGCATATTAATATATTTCTCGCACATGCCCTTCTACCACATGTCCTTTCTTTTTTCATTACCTAAGGAATTAATTCAGTTTGACCTTTTCAATTGGCGCTTTGCACGAACGAAAGACAGGACTTGACAGTCTCCACGTAACCGCCTTCCAATGATTTAGCCATGGCGACTTAAGACGTACAATGTCTTGATTTGTGGACACGGAATACGCCCATCCGGCGTTTTCGGCATATCTTACAGCCACACGGAGCGACATGTTGAATAAATAAGAGATTAAATACTTATAAATAATAATTGAAAAGCCTTTAACCTTTCCTTTCCAACAATGCCCGCCACCGCACGGATGAGATCGCTTCAACATGCGTAAGTGCGTAAGAAATATTTCTAGATGCTAAAGAAAACGTCCCCTACTCTCTCAATTGCAAATTCCAGCAATGTTCAGAGAAGTGCAAGAACAAAGATTACCAAGTCATTTTCGCATATTTAAGCACTCACTATAAAATTCCCTGGATAATCAAACCAGATTAAGATTCAAAAGACACGTTTTCTAACTGGTTAGAAATACACATTGCAATGGGAAATATAGTGCATTTCCGTTCATGTTCTGCATAAATATTGCACGCTCGATGATGCAGTTTCAAGGCTTTTCCCTTTGCAGGGATGCCAACTTTAGGAGAAGGATGCGATCCCGACGTTGGGTGTAGTGAGAACTTCACTGAATGTCGGGAAGAACTCTGCAGATGCTCACAGGGATACGTCGAAGAGGATGCACGATGCAGTAAGGAACACTCGCGATTTTCGACTGTCATTTGAAAGGTCAAGAACGATAGGGAGGAAGTTCCAAGACTTTCGTATGGATCTTAATCTAATGCAAATTTAATCGATGTGGAATAGAAAGTATACATATTAATATATTTCTCACACATGCCCTTCTACCACATGTCCCTTTTTTTTCATTACCTCACCTTAATTAAGGGTATTAAGTCAAACTGTAAAACTTAACCGGGAAACGTGTTCGATCTCTGTCCTGAACTGTCAGAGGTGCATTGGCGGAAGGTTACTAAAACGGTAATTCTAAGTTTTCTGTGCAATTCTAACTGGTTAGCAATACGCATTGCAATGGCAAATATAGTGCATTTCCGTACATGTTCTGCATAAATATTGCACACTCGATGATGCAGTTTAAAGGCTTTTCCCTTTGCAGGGATGCCAACTTTAGGAGAAGGCTGCGATCCCGTCGTTGGGTGTACTGAGAACATCACTGAATGTCGGGAAGAATTTTGCCGATGCACACACGGATACGTCGAAGAGGATGCACGATGCAGTAAGGAACAATCGCGATTTTCAACTGTCATTTGAAAGGTCAAGAATGATAGGGAGGAAGTTCCAAGACTTTCGTATGGATCTTAGACTAATGCGAATTTAATCGATCTCTAATTAAAATTATGAATATTAGTGTATTTCTCGCGCATGCACTCCTTCCACTCGTCGCTTCTTTTATTATTACCTCAGGAATTAATTCATTTTGACGTTTAAAATTGACGCTTTGCACGAGCGAGAGACAGGACTTGACAGTCTCCACGTAGCCGCCTTCCAATGCATTAGCCATGGCGACTTAAGTACCAAGCCATTTTCGCATATTTAAGCACTCATTATAAAATTCCCTGGATAATCAAACCAGATTAAGATTTTAAAGACCCGTTTTCTAACTGGTTAGCAATACATGTTGCAATGGAAATATAGTGCATTTCCGTTCATGTTCTGCATAAATATTGCACACACGATGCTGCAGTCGAAAGGCTTATCCCTTTGCAGGGATGCCAACTTTAGGAGAAGGCTGCGATCCCGTCGTTGGGTGTACTGAGAACTTCACTGAATGTCGGGAAGAACTCTGCAGATGCTCACACGGATACGTCGAAGAGGATGCACGATGCAGTACGGAACACTCGCGATTTTCGACTGTCATTTGAAAATGTTTAATTTATTTAAGCTATTTAAGCACTCATTATAAAATTCCCCTGAGGATCAAACAAGATTAGGGTCTTAAAGGCTCATTTTAAAACTGGTTAGCAACGCACGTCGCAATGGCAAATGTATCGCAATTCTGTTCACATTTGTTTCCTAATAAACATTTTTAGAATGCTGAATGTTACGCTTAGGCTCTGTGTAACAGCCATTGTCCCCTTTTCATTTGAACCACCCTAGTAGAAAAGGATTATTGACTTTCACATGATCGTAATCTGATGCAAACTTAACCTATACCGCATCGGATGAATAAATATAAATNGGAATTAATTCCCATAATTCAGTTTGACATTTTGAATTGGCCCTTTGCACAAGCTAGAGACAGGACTTGACAGTCTCCACGTAACCGCCTTCCAATGATTTTGCCATTAAGATTCAAAAGACACGTTCTCTAACTGGTTAGCAATACGCATTGCAATGGCAAATATAGTGCATTTCCGTACATGTTCTTCATAAATATTGCACGCTCGATGATGCAGTTTAAAGGCTTTTCCCTTTGCAGGGATGCCAACTTTAGGAGAAGGCTGCGATCCCGTCGTTGGGTGTACAGAGAACATCACTGAATGTCGGGAAGAATTTTGCCGATGCACACACGGATACGTCGAAGAGGATGCACGATGCAGTAAGGAACACTCGCGATTTTCAACTGTCATTTGAAAGGTCAAGAATGATAGGGAGGAAGTTCCAAGCCTTTCGCATGGATCTTAGACTAATGCGAATTTAATCGATCTCTAATTAAAATTATGAATATTGATGTATTTCTCGTGCATGCACTCCTTCCACTCGTCGCTTCTTTTATTATTACCTCCGGAATTAATTCATTTTTGACATTTTGAATTGGCCCTTTGCACAAGCTAGAGACAGGACTTGACAGTCTCCACGTAACCGCCATCCAATGATTTTGCCATGGCGACTTAAGTCCAATGTCTTGATTTGTGGACAAGAAGTTCGCCTATCCGGAGTTTTTCGGCATATCTTGCAACCACACGGGGCAACATGCTGAATAAATAAGAGATTAAATACTGACAATTAAATAATTTTAATGCCTTTAACCTTTCCAACAATGTCTGCCATGGCACGAATGGGATTCCTTCAACATACGTAAGTGCGACGGCCCCCGTCAAAAAACGAAATTCGCTCTCTCCTCGAAGGGAAGCCCATCCTCGGGGAAGACTGCGACGCGGACGTCGGCTGCGAAGTCGAACATGCAACCTGCGACAGCGGTGGATGCCAGTGCCTTCAAGAATACTATGCCGTTGGAAACGCGACTTGCGGTAAGTTTTGCGCTCGAACCTTTTTTTTTGCGCGTCCCGTTGAATCTGTCGCGCAGAAAATTCATAGGGAATCGCACTATGCTAAAAGACACGTGCAGATTGGGTTGGAATGTTGACCCATCAGTACATTCGTTTCTGAAGGTGTTTTTTTTGGAGCGTATGTCCATATGATGCCAAACAATTATTCGAAGTGGCAGTGCGAATTTCATAGCCACCCTGAATATCAACTGGTTCATCAATTTCAGTTTTAACTATTGTGCTGAAATGAGGTGATAGTAGTTGAGTTTAGAACCTAAAAGTTATTCAGGTTCAAGTATTGCTTTTTATGCAGATATTTCGCATTGAATCTCAGAATGGAAACGGATGAACCTCATATAATGGAAAAGGGGAAACGAAAACTGCAGGAAAACATGATATTAATATTGATATTAATATCATGTTTATCATAATATTGATATTAATATTGGTTAAACTAGAAGGGCCGAATGCGAGTCGATAATAGCCCTTATATTTGTTCTTAATAAGAAAATGAAGTACGTCGGAATTTGTTTCGCTCGGTTATATAGTGATATGTGTCACACAGGCACATTAGAAACATCATATTGACATTGAAACATCATATTAGAAACATTAGAAACATCATATTGACATTGATATAACTGGCATTCTCATGTAAAGCCGCATTTCAAAATGTGACTGCAATGTTACTTTTGAGTCATGTTTCGCGCTACTTTCGCAGCACTGTGATCGAAGAAATTAAATATGGGTGAACATATATAACTTTTTTTCCTTTTAATCCATCAAAAGTTTGGAGATAAGTGACTTCAACCAGTTCCATTTTGTTCCTGATATGCAAATGATTTTTGAAATATGTCCGAAACCCCATTATTACAGGATTTTTCCGGACATTTCCTCACGACAAGGCGTTCGAACGTATGCTTCACATGCGTTTCAAAAAACGTGTCGCACTTATTTCCCATTCCAATCACATTAAAAATTTTTGGTTTTTTCATTGTATGCAAGTAATATGTATTCTGGACATGAGTTCCAGTAGAAACTCAGATTTCACAATTTTGCTGGAACGAGTCATCATTGGGAAGGATTTAATCTTGAAATATACTCGATTATGCATGAGTGTCGCGCCTTGGGGTGACGTGTTTCAGCCGAAGACGTCGGACTCGGTGAATCTTGCCCTTCGGATGATGCCTGCGGGGTGGAGCATTCCGAGTGCATTCAGGACCGCTGCAACTGCTCCGTTGGATACATGGAGAATGAGGATGGGCTCGAATGCAGTGAGAACATTGCTTGGCCCTTTTTCCTTCCAATATTGGCATTAGCAATTTCTTTTCTTGGCGGGAATACCCAAGCTTGGTGAAAGATGCGACTATGTCGTTGGTTGTGATAGGCAACACAATGAATGTCGGGGAGACATATGCCGATGCTCATCAGGATATGTTCAAGACGCTTTTACCTGCAGTAGGGAATAATTGGATGATTAATTGAGGGTGATTGGGATGGTCAGAACGCATCAACTTGATTCAAGCATCAGCTAGAAGCATTATGTTGATACATGCATCTTGTGAAAACGGTCGTAACGTTTGTTTCCTAAAAAATAGTTATTGATGGTAAAGAAAACGTCCCCTACTCTCTCAATTGGAAATCCCCGTAAAATCATCTTCAGCGAAGTGTAAGAACAAAGATTACCAAGCCATTTTCGCATATTTAAGCACTCATTATAAAATTCCCTGGATTATCAAACCAGATTAAGATTCAAAAGACACGTTTTCTAACTGGCTAGCAATATATGTTGCAATGGCAAATATAGTGCATTTCCGTTGATGTTCGGCATAAATATTGCACACTCGATGATGCAGTTTAAAGGCTTTTCCCTTTGCAGGGATGCCAACTTTAGGAGAAGGCTGCGATCCCGTCGTTGGGTGTACTGAGAACTTCACTGAATGTCGGGAAGAACTCTGCAGATGCTCACACGGATACGTCGAAGAGGATGCACGATGCAGTAGGGAATACTCGCGACTTTCGACTGTCATTTGAAAATGTTTAATTTATTTAAGCTATTTAAGCACTCATTATAAAATTCCCCTGAGGATCAAACAAGATTAGGGTCTTAAAGGCTCATTTTAAAACTGGTTAGCAACGCACGTCGCAATGGCAAATGTATCGCAATTCTGTTCACATTTGTTTCCTAATAAACATTTTTAGATGCTGAATGTTACGCTTAGGCTCTGTGTAACAGCCATTGTCCCCTTTTCATTTGAACCACCCTAGTAGAAAAGGATTATTGACTTTCACATGATCGTAATCTGATGCAAACTTAACCTATACCGCATCGGATGAATAAATATAAATGAACTTGTCGTTCATGCACTTCTACCTTTCGTCCCTTCTTCATGATCACATTATGAATTAATCATGGTATATATTTAGATTGCCGCTTAGCATGGGCGAGAGAGGGATAATCTCCATGTCGAAATGGCAAATGTCGCGCATTTCCGTCCGCGTTTCACAGAGGCATTGCGCACTCACTGCTTGCAGTTGAAAAGGGTTTACCCTTTGCAGGGATGCCAACTTTAGGAGAAGGATGCCAACCCAACGTTGGTTGTAGGGAGAACATCACTGAATGTCGGGAATTCATCTGTCGATGTTTACACGGATACGTCGAAGAGGATGCACGATGCAGTAAGGAACATCCACGATATTACATTGCCGTGATAATTCGTGTAATTATTTAGATGGGAAATTACTATTTAGATTGGAAATTACTATTTAGATGGGAAATTACTATTTAGATGGGAAATTACTATTTAGATGGGAAATTACTATTTAGATGGGAAATTACTATTTAGATGGGAAATTACTATTTAGATGGGAAATTACTATTTAGATAAAAATTATTTAGATAGGATTATTTAGAAGAGGGAATGCTCCTTGACCTCTCCACACATTTTGATCCAATGCTATCGTGATCAACTGCATGGTGTATCGAATCGCAAGTCCTAAGATAAGTACACGAAGTTGTGCGAAAATCATTTGAAAGTTTTCCCTTCCTTGTCATTGGCGCACGATGATCATCAGGATCAGGATCATCAACTGTCGGTGCGCTGAGACGTTCGTCTTCCTACCAGCCTAATAACGCTGACACGATGAACAAATTTAGCTCATTTCCCAGCAGGATCCTCAGGGGAATTACAAACTCACGCGGATTGGTCGAAGATGATTTAAGATGCAGTAAGGAACACCACGAAATTTGCCCTGATGATTTGGTGATGAATGGAGGATAGGAAGGGGGATGACCTCTTGACTTAACCAATCGTTTTCATCAATTGCGACTGTTATCTATGGTTTATCGAATCGCAAGACAAAAGACAAGAATATGAAGTTGCGAGAAAATCCTTTTTCAACGGCTTTCCCTCTCTTTAATCCCCACCCCCCAAATGAAATGTCGAAATGTTTCAATTCTCACCTTTAGAGCTACGCATGCCAGATTCGACCCGGCAGGACTTTTAAACACCATCTTTTCCAGGCATGAAACGCTTTTACCGTTTGCAGGGTTGCCGAATTTTGGAGAAGATTGCCAGCAGTCCGTTGGATGCGGCGGGGAAAACCTCGCCTGCCAGGGAAACTCCTGCAATTGCACGTCCGGACACGTGGAGGACGGTCCGAAATGCCGTAAGTGCGGTCGATGGTGACACCGTCACCGTCGGCGAATCCGAATTTCGCTGGCATCAGCGCACAAATATTTTCAGCGTCTTCCTCAGCGATGAACGCTTCCATTTTTTTTTCTCAAGGGTTGCCGATTCTCGAAGAGGAGTGCGACGTAGACGTCGGCTGCAACGTCACCTACGCGGCCTGCATGCGCGGCGTGTGCCGGTGCCTCGAAGAATTCTACGCGAGGGGAAACCGAACCTGCGGTGGGTGTGAATTCCCAACTCGTTAGTGCGAGGAACGGTGCGTGCACGTTGCATCGTCGACATGTCGGTGTCGATTATGGCTGATTCTTGGGTCAAAGTCCAAATATAATATCGCGGTTTGCAAATATAAAAAATATGGTAGCATTCGCGATTAATATCGTGGCAGGACACTGATTCATTGATAATTTTAATCATGACAATTATTTGCAAACTTTTTCAACAGCGCCCGACGTCGGTCTCGGAGAGCCGTGTCCGTCAGACGACGCCTGCAAGGAGGATTTCTCCGAATGCCACCCTAACGATGGCACCTGTCGCTGCGCCTCGGGCTACGTTCAGCAGGGGGAAAAATGCCGTGAGTTCCTTTCCGCAAAAAAAAACTGCTTGGGACGGAATATGCCGTTCGATGAAACGCCTTGTTCCTCGCAAGGGAGCGCTCGCAGGCATCCGACCATGCGAGAGTGGCATCAAAGGAAAAGTATTTCAGTGGAAAAAAAAAATCCCGGAACTGAAACTGCATTGCAACGCTGAGCGCGCCGATGTCGTTCGTCAAAGCTCGTCTCGCCTATGATTTACCATCTCACGTCAATGGACCATGGTGCCCATAGAGCGAAAAAAAATTCTAAAGTTTGACAAATGCGCAATGAACCAACCCGAAAGTGGGAGAGTCCCAGGAAATAGGACAGTCACGATTCGCAGATCACTTTTATTTTTACTGCTAGCTCCTGGCGCCAAATATTACACTTCTTTTTCATCTCCTAATGCGTTGCGATACGGGAAAGCAGCACATTTGATGAACTTTCGGGCTCCGTATTTCATCATGGGGGCTTAAAATCCCTGCTTTCCTGGCGGCAAACGCGACGCACTGCATTGAGCGATGCCAGCGCTCGCTTGCGACCAACAAGGCAACTCCCGTCTCCTCGCTTATCCCAGAGATGGCCGGACGAGACGATTTTCCGTGAAGGTTGCCTCCCCTCTCTTTCGTGAGGCTGGTGTTTGAATTTTTCATTTTAAAAAGGAACATCCTCCGATGATTAGGACGATTTCTGTCGAAACTCCAACTTCATATCTCGAAGCGTTTGGCTTGTAGAGCTGTCACACACACACGCAAACACACACACGCAAACACACTTTTTGTCGCTCGGCCTAGCTAGCGATCAAGATCCCCCATGCTGCGTTTAACCTCTAGGTTTAAATATTTCGGTGTTAAATATTATTTAATTATCGATGATTATTTATTTGTGTTATAGAATAAAGCCAACGTTTCCATAAAACAAAGCGAATGATGCACTGCACATATATCTCTAAAGAAGCGCTAAACACCATTTTTTCCAGACATGAAACTCTTTTACCGTTTGCAGGGTTGCCGAATTTTGGAGAAGATTGCCAGCAGTCCGTTGGATGCGGCGGGGAAAACGTCGCCTGCCAGGGAAACTCATGCAATTGCACGTCCGGACACGTCGAGGACGGTCCCAAATGCCGTAAGTGCGGTCGATGGTGACACCGTCACCGTCGGCGAATCCGAATTTCGCTGGCATCAGCGCACAAATATTTTTAGCGTCTTCCTCAGCGATGAACCCTTCCATTTTTTTTTCTCAAGGGTTGCCGATTCTCGAAGAGGAGTGCGACGTAGACGTCGGTTGCAACGTCACCTACGCGGCCTGCATGCGCGGCGTGTGCCGGTGCCTCGAGGAATTCTACGCGAGGGGAAACCAAACCTGCGGTTGGTGTGAATTCCTAACTCGTATGTGCGAGGAACGGTGTGTGCACGGTGCATTGTCGACCGTCGGTGTCGATAACGGCTGATTCTTGGGCCGAAGCCAAAATATAATATCGCGGTTTGCAAATGTAAAAAATGTGGTAGCATCTGCGATTAATCTCGTGGCAGGAAACGGATTCACTGATACGAGGACCACTCAATATGTTATCTACCTGAATATGAAAGGGATGAGCAACAGGCCTGTACCTGCTGTGACATGTCTCGACAGGTCTCGTGAGTGCCGCACCACTATACCAGCTCAGTGGCTCATGTCCGTTCAAAGTGGTAGCGCATTAGATTTCTTTTCCTCAGTCTGTCATGGATTTGACAAAAGTCGAACATCGTTCAGTGATCAAATTCCTCACGAAAGAAGGGAAAGCACCTAAGGAGATTAATGAACGTATGTCTAACGTTTATGGTGTGTCTTCGCCTTCTTATTACCAAGTTAAATTTTGGAGCAAGCAGTTTAAGTGGGGAAGAGAGTCGATCGAAGATGACCCAAGGTCGGGGCGCCCTGTGGAGGCTTCTGATCAGGAAATGTGTGACAAATTGGAGAGTGCGATACTGGAGGATCGTCGCACCAAAGTCTCTGTTTTAGCTCATGAACTGGGGATTTCAGAGGGCACAGTGATTCACATTATTCATGAAAAATTACACATGTCCAAAGTCAGTTCTCGATGGGTCCCAAGAATGCTGACTCCAGCTCAGAAGAAGAACAGATCTGACATCTGCAAGGAAAACTTGGAGTTTTCTAAACAATTCGGGGAAATTTTTTTCCTAGAATAGTAACTGGTGATGAAACTTGGGTTCATCACTGGATTCCGAAACCAAGCAGGACTCCATGCAGTGGAAGCACAAGGGATCGCCAACGCCTTGTAAATTTCGTGTTCAGAAATCTGCAGGGAAGATTATGGCCACTGTGTTTTGGGACAGTGAGGAACTACTGCTGCTTGAGTTCATGCCAGACAAGTGTACAATCACTGGCGATTCCTATGCTACTATCATGAAAAATTTACACGATGCCATCAAGGAAAAACGCAGAGGAAAGTTGTCAAGGGGGGTCCTCCTCCATGACAATGCGCCCGTCCACAAATCATGGAAAGTTCAGGCAGCATTGGTGGAGTGTTGGCTATCAGGAGATCAACCATCCTCCCTATAGCCCGGATCTGCCTCCTAGTGACAATTTTCTGTTCACATACTTGAAAATATTTTTGCTGGGAAAAAGATTTTCATGGAATGAAGAGCTGAAAGTCGCCGTTTCTGATTGGTTTGATGGAGAAGAATTTGACTTTTATTCCCAGGGAATAAAATCCTTGGAATCAAAGTGGAATAAGTGTGTTGAGTTAAAAGGTGACTACATTGAAATATAAAGTGTTATTTTTCCCCTCGGATGTTTCTTTCATATTCAGGTAGATAAATTATTAAGTGACCCTCGTATTTACCCATGTTCATGTGCCGAGCCGGGGTCGATCGCTCGATTCGGATGAGCCTTCCCTGAAAGTGCAAATTTTCGGGCGGAGCGTTCTTTCAAGTCCTATCAGGGGGTTTCTTCCATTTTTTGACAATTATGGCACGCAAGCTACTCCTGAAGCCGGTCACGGAAGGAGCAGAGACTCCAATACCATACAACGAATAGCCGGACCACTCTGCCATCAATCTAATATACTGTATTTAGACGATCGTGACTGACTGACTGACGCTGACTCTAACCATGTTCTAGAAAAGTTAGAAATCTGAAACTTGGTTTTCAAATCCTTCAATTTTTGGCATTTCATATCATGTAAAATGGTATGCATGTGATTCGAGAAACGGTCTTATTTTCGCAAGCTCCCTTCTCCCATATAGTGAATTTGTTCTTTTTTCACCATTTACCAATGCGATCGCAATTCGGGAAAACTTTCCGCCCTTTGAAGAACTCTCGCGTTTGTCGGCTTTCTCGCTTTATTCGTAAGCACTGCCAAAGGCTGAAGGCATGTGCGCAAGTAGCGACGAGCTCACGAATCGCCCCGTGATTCACGGCGGAAGCTTTAGAATCCCTCAAACAAAGTGGAATAAGTGTGTTGAGTTAAAATGTGACTACATTGAAAAATAAAGTGTTATTTTTACCCTCGGATGTTTCTTTCTTATTCAGGTAGATAACTTATTGGGTGACCCTCGTAAATTTTAATAATGAAAATTATTTGCAAACTTTTTCAACAGCGCCCGACGTCGGCCTCGGAGAGCCGTGTCCCTCAGACGACGCCTGCAAGGAGGATTTCTCCGAATGCCACCCTAACGACGGCACCTGTCGCTGCGCCTCGGGCTACGTTCAGCAGGGGGAAAAATGCCGTGAGTTCCTTCCCGCCAAAAAAAAAACCGCTTGGGACGGAACACGCCGTTCGATGAAACGCCTTGTGTTAATCAGCATTCTTGGGGTCACTTTCTGGAAGGCTGCGCGCACCGCATTTTCGAGTCGATCGTTTGTTGAACAACGGGGCTTCCGCACCTCCTCCTTGATGAAACCCCAGAGTGCGTTATCCGGTGTCGTCAGATCAGGGCTTCTTGGAGGCCACGGAAGAGGAGCTGGAGAATCGTCCGATCCTCGTCGGATCCAGCGATTCCCAAAGACTGCGTTCAGACGGGGTCGAACAGCCAATGCGATGTGGGCCGGCGCCCCATCAGATAACTGACGTGATCAACAGAACCTGTAAAAAATATACGGACCAAACAGATGCGTTGCCGTCATTCCGGCCCAGATCGTGACATGAGGTGGATCGCGCTCAATTTCTTCAAAGAAATTAAGATTTCCTTTTCCGACAGAAAAAGACATTGCGACTGCGGGAGCTGCGATAAATCGCGCATTCATCTGAAAATATGACCTTTGCCTGCTGAGACGTTGTTGGAAATTGTTGCAGCATCAGAGCACAAGCGTCCACGCGTCTGTCCATATCAGCATATGTTACTTCAGTAACTTTCAATGGACGCCAACATTTCACTTGCAGGTCCAATTTCATGTGTTTTCGCCTGGTTGATTCTGGCATTCCCAACTCAGCAGCCCGTTTTCGCCTGGATTTAACCGGGGGATCGTCGGCCAGATCCTGCCACATCTGCACAACGTTCAAGCCTCGTGGATGGTCGTTGCAAAATCCTTCCTTTCCCATTGCAACAACGTCTTCTTTGTCGGTGCTGCCTTCTCAAACCGCGCAACGAAGTCGTCCATGACATTTTTTTATTCGATGTGCCGTTAATTTGACGACCCACACAGCGGCCACCAAACGCTCCTAGATCGTGTAATCACTCGGGTCAGCCATCGCTTCGACTTTCATCTGCCGCCACGCATTGCGATTGTTGGTACGTACGAAAGCAGACCTTGTGACAGCGGGAGAACACGTGCCAAGGTCGTGCGAAGGTCACCAGCACGAACGTGGCATGATTACTCGCGTCAGCTTGACGTACATATAGGGGGAATAGGGACTCTGTACTAATGCGTCTGCGATACGGGAAAACAACACAACATTTGATGAACTTTCGGGCTCCGTATTTCATCATGGAGGCTTAAAATCCCTGCTTTCCTGGTGGTAAACGTGACGCATTGCATTGGGCGATGCCAGCGCTCGCTTGCGAGCAACAAGGCAACTCTCGTCTCCTTGCGTATCCCAGATATGGCCGGACGAGGGAGAAACACCGATTTTCCGGGAAGGTTGCCTCCCCTCTCTTTCGTGAGGCTGGTGTTTGAATTTTTCATTTTGAAAGGGAACATCCTCCGATGATTAGGAAGATTTCTGTCGAAACTCCAACTTCATATCTCGAAGCGTTTGGCCTTTAGAGCTGTCACACAGACACACACACAGACACACACACATACACACACACATACACACACACATACACACACACATACGCACACACATACACAATTTTTGTCGCTCGGCCTAGCTAGCGATCAGGATCCCCCACGCTGTGTTTAACCTCCGGTTTGAAATATTTCGGTGTTAAATATTATTTAATTATCGATGATTATTTATTTGTGTCATAGAATAAAGCCAACGTTTCCATGAAGTAAAACGAATGATGCATTGCACATATATCACTAAAGAATCGCTAAACACCATTTCTTCCAGACATGAAACTCTTTTACCGTTTGCAGGGTTCCCGAATTTGGGAGAGGATTGCCAGCAGTCCGTTGGATGCGGCGGGGAAAACGTCGCCTGCCAGGGAAACTCCTGCAATTGCACGTCCGGACACGTCGAGGACGGTCACAAATGCCGTAAGTGCCGTCGACGGTGACACCGTCACCGTCGGCGAATCCGAATTTCGCTGGCATCAGCGCACAAATATTTTTAGCGTCTTCCTCAGCGATGAACCCTTCCATTTTTTTTTCTCAAGGGTTGCCGATTCTCGAAGAGGAGTGCGACGTAGACGTCGGTTGCAACGTCACGTACGCGGCCTGCATGCGCGGCGTGTGCCGGTGCCTCGAAGAATTCTACGCGAGGGGAAACCGAACCTGCGGTGGGTGTGAATTCCCAATCTTAGTGCGAGGAACGGTGCGTGCACGGTGTATCGTCGACCGTCGGTGTCGATTATGGCTGATTCTTGGGCCGAAGTCAAAATATAATATCGCGGTTTGTAAATATAAAATATGCAGTAGCATCCGCGATTAATCTCGCGGCAGTAAACGGATTCACTGATAAATTTTAATAATGAAAATTATTTGCAAACTTTTTCAACAGCGCCCGACGTCGGCCTCGGAGAGCCGTGTCCGTCAGACGACGCCTGCAAGGAGGATTTCTCCGAATGCCACCCTTACGAGGCCACCTGTTACTGCCCCTCGGGCTACGTTCAGCAGGGGGAAAAATGCCGTGAGTTCCTTTCCGCCAAAAAAAAAACCGCTTGGGACGGAACACGCCGTTCCATGAAACGCCTTGTTCCTCGCAAGGGAGCGCTCGCAGGCACCCGACCATGTGAGAAAGAAAGAAAAAGAAAAAAATAAGAAAAAAATATTCAGTGGAAAAAAAAAATTCCCGGAATTGAAACTGCATTGCAACGCTGAGTGCGCCGATGTCATTCGTCAAAGCTCGTCTTGTCGATGATTTACCACGACACGTCAATGAACCATGGTGCCCATACAGCGAAAAAAAAAAATTCTAAAGTTTGAAATGAACCAGCCCGAATGTTGGAGAGTCCCATGCGAACAGGACAATCACGATTCGCATACCAACTTTTTATTTTTACTGGTAGCTCCTGGTCCCATATATTATAATTTTTTTGACGCTTAAAATCCCTGCTTTCCTGGCGGCAAACGTGACGCACTGCATTGGGCGATGCCAGCGCTCCCTTGCGAGCAACAAGGCAACTCCCGTTTCCTCGCTTATCCTAGAGATGGCGGGATGAGGGCGAAACTCCGATTTTCCGTGAAGGTTGCTTCCCCCCTCTTTCGAGAGGCTGGTGTTTCAACTTTTCATTTCGAAAGGGAACATCCTCCTATGATTTGGAAGATTTCTGTCGAAACCCCAACTTCATATCTCGAATCGTTTGGCCTATAGAGATGTCACACACGCACGCACACACACACACACACACGCAAACACACACACACGCAAACACACTTTTGTCGATTGGCCTAGCTAGCGATGAGGATCCCCCACGTTGTGTTTCACCTCCGGTTTGAAATATTTCGGTGTTAAATATTATTTAATTATCGATGATTATTTATTTGTGTTGTAGAATCAAGGCAACGTTTCCATAAAATAAAACGACTTATGCACTGCACATATGTCTCTAAAGAAAGCGCTGATGCGAAATGCCACAACTCCCTTGAATAAAAGCGGTTCGGTAATAATAAAATGTAAGAATAGCCGGAATTTTCATCGACATCTTTCTGTCGACCGCGAAATATACCTTTCCAAAAAAAAACTTTTAGTGGCTCTGATGGGATTCGCGTCCGAGGAAGAGGGGGAATGAGGGAGGGTCGTGTGATCGAAGTGGAGGGCCTTGGGGCTCGGGATCTGTCCCGGGCGAACGCCTGCTCCTTCCCCGGCCTGCACCGCTCTTTTCCTCCCGTAATGGGACGAGACGGCCTGGCACGAATGGGACGACAGTGAGCAGTGCCGACTCTATGAGTACGCAGTGTGATGCAAAATGGCCATTCCGTTGCAATTCATTGAGTGCGGGATGGCTGATGATGACAGGGAACTGGGTATTCCAAAACGTCATCATGGACTGATTAGGGCACGACGAGATGCGTCCGATCGAGGTACATTCATGGAAACGGAACATATTTCCTCCTGGAATAAAAAAAATCTTCCGATCCAATGAGTTTCATGGAGATAGTGGAGGATGAAGGGGATGCTGTTGCAGCTTTGGAGCAGCTCATTTGCGATGTGATATCGAACCGTGGGAAGCAGCCCATTCATCCTCTCCTTCGAGCGATGTCGTTTCGGGAAAAGCATGCAGTCCTCTTCATGCTTCCACGTAGAATTTTTCCATACGGATTCGAATATTCACGGGAAAAAAAACTCTCACTGCCTCACTTCCCTATCTTAAGAGTCGCCTTCTCTTTTCTTCCTCGCACCGTCTGAGCCGCTCGCCTTCGAGGGAATGACTCCGAAGTACATAATACGAAGTTGGTTCTTACAGATTCGGGTGTCGGAGGCCCCCGCCTGCAACAGGCCCTGGTGGTCCTCGCCCTTACCTTCTTCGGTGGACGGAGATTCCTTCCCTTCTTTGGTGGATGCTGATGTCTTCCGTTCTTCGGTGGATGCTGATGTCTTCCGTTCGAGTGGTGGTGGGTCGCACTGGGTGCAAGATTGCATGGTTCTCATGGTTCTTTTGAATACATACTGGTGAATGAAGAGTGTCTCCGATCGTTCCCGGCTCCGGCGCTATCACAGCGGCATTCGGCGGTTGATTGCATGCCGGCTGATCCGACATTCGTTTAGTCCATAAGCAAGATTGCGACGTAAATATTACCTGTTTTCCCTCAAACGTATGGTAGTGGAAAATGCAAGTTCCGCGAAAGTTTTCATCGGATCAACCGAGTCCATGCGATCGATCTAAAAGATTGCTCTAGAACAGCGCTCGATTGATGGCGTCACTCGTGAGGGAAAAATTCCCTCCAGTTTCCTTTGACTGATGAACGTACCCGGGCGAATAAAATATGGCGGGAGGGAAAAAATCGGATTTTCTCTGGCCGTGCTCACATCGACTTGCCATGTAGGATTCCGCATTGCCCCGAGACGGATTCGGAGCTCATTGATTCATAGCTCAAGTCAAGTGATATTCCGTTGGCCGCTTATAGTTTTTTTTTGCATTTAATGCCTTTGTTCTGTTACCTACTTTTCTGCTTTTTCCCATCTACGTATTGTAATACTGGAATTAAACAATTTACATTTGCATGCGAAGGCTTCCGCAGAAAATTCTTGGAGAAAATTAGTGAAAATTGCTTCCTGTGCCCTCGTATTCGGTTATGGATTTGAGTTAGGAGAAATTCCATTTAAATAACTTTTAATTCTGATACCCGCTATCGTTACTTTCGTGAACTAAGTTGCCGTCCGAATCCTGGATACAGTCTCAGGGTGTGATTCGACAGAATCGATACCGCCGAAGCCGTTAAATTATGCACAACAGGGAAATGCAACGACTTCGCAACTCGGGTGAAAAATGATCGCGACCCCTGCCAACGCAAACCGAGCGGCCCTGCCGACGCGGCACAACAGCCTCACAGCAGGGGAGACGTTGTTCGCGAGATCAGCGACGATGCCTCCACCTTCCGCGAAGTTCGCGACCCTCCTCGCCATCGCGCTCGCGGCCCTGCTCGCGACCGCCTCCGCCTCCCAGGCGGGGATCTTCGCGAGGCAGTTCACCAAGGTCGCCGGCGGCGTCTTTCAGCCGCCCTTCTCCGAGATCGCCGTCCCCTCCCCCACGCAGTGCCAGTGGCAATGCCTCCAAAGCACCGACACCGGCGTCTACTGCAACGCCTTCAACTACGTCTCCGGGAAGTGCCAGCTGGCGAACACCAGAAACAGCAAGTTGGTGCAGGCGGCCGGCGAAGCCTTCACCCTCGCAGGTAAGCTATGCACGCGAACGGACGACATGCCTAGTTTTATCGTTAAAATAATAATTTCATAAATTTAACTAAAGTTGTATGCGTTTCACTTTTGTCATACCCATGAGAAAATTTTTGTCCCATATGAATGAGAAAATTATGCACTAAATTCCCAAATAGTATAAAGGCTGTCCGAAGAAACAATTCTCTGCGGATTATTCCATGGAACTATGGATACCGGCATTTATGTAGCAGGTATTTAGGCTCAACATTGGAAATATTGCATCGATTTTATAAGGGGAACTACAGAAACCTTTTTTTTATTTTTGATGAATATGAAACCTGAATACTTAATGAGTTTCGTGCTTCTCCAGAACTTCGCTTGGGATATGAGCAAAAAATTGGCAATGCATCCATTTTCCAAAGTCCCGAGGTCCACCTTGATCTGAGAATTTCCGTATGAATAAAGGACACTGCCGTGCGACAGAGTGTCCTTTATAAAGGACGCACGGACAATGTCCGTGCGACAGAGACATAGCCGATTTTCCAAGCGTTTCTCCCCCTTTGAAAACATGTCGAAGGAAGCATTAATTATCAAGTGGAATATGCGCAATTAATTTAAAAATATTTTGCAGTTCATGAAATGTATTTAAATCGCGTTTTCACAGAAATTCAAGTGAATTTCGATGAAGCGACTTCGGGATTCATTTCCTTTTCGTGACGACTCATTTCCTTCAAATTCGCAAATTCATCATATATTAAAGGCGATCCAAAAATGTGTAGTCGAAAAGAATTGCACAAACCAGAAAACTTGACTTAGCCCATTTGAAAGAGAAAACCATCGCACCAGTTTCCTCTGTCTCCCGCAACGTGCCGGTTGAAACTGAACTAACCCGTCGCATCGGGTTGCGTCGCCGACGGGGGCCATTCTGAGGTGCGACATTGCACGCAAAACTTAAGGACAATGGTAAGCACGGTACGAAGTTTCAAGTCTCTTACTTGTTCTGGTTTGTATTACTTTCCTGTTCACATTTTTGGATCATACTGTATTTATTACATATTACAGATTTTCGACTTGGATCATTTCTATACTTTCATAGTTCCATAATTATGGGAAAAACCAAAACTGAACTTTAAGTGCGTCATTACTACCAATATAGGTGATACTTAACTGCACCCCTGAGCATCGTCGCATCCGCCTCCACAGTACACGCTGCACTGGTTACTTTCCAGTAGCATGAGCGCGAACTCTCTCCAACCAATGGAATGTGCTTCTGTGGTGGTTGCGGGAGGGAATTAAAAAAAAAAAAAAAAAAAAAAACAGGATAAAATACTGTCAGATAAAATTACGTATTAAAAAGGAATTAGTTGATGATTATCCTTGGATTTAAATGGATTAAATTGATTATCCTTGGATCCTTTCCCCTTTCGTGAGTAATAACGTTTTGAGTGACGATATTTGCATCATTATTTCCTGGCATATTTCCTGGAATCGGACGCAGAATGGCGAATCTCGGAAATATTCGCGAACCGCGAACAGATTTTCCAGCGTCACCGCCGAGGAGCGATTCAATCCTCATGGAGTTTTTTTTTTTTATTCTCTCGCATTTATTTAGGCAGTTAGCCTCGAAGGCGCGTAAAATCCATGTAATAATTGCGTGTCTACTTCTTAATTCCTAAGATTATATCTACGTACACGTGCCCACAGCACCTCCATGGCGCACTAGTGGGCCGTGGCCCACCGTTTGAGAACCACTGATGTCGACGGTTGCATGGCGTAGACGCGTCGCATTTGCGCAAGGATCTCCGCTGGAACCTACGAGTACAATGAAAAAGATTTCTCAATATCGATAAAATACAGATACGCTGCAGATAAAAATACATGCAAAGACAATTTCCGCAACAAAAAAATCAGAGAATTATATGTACATACATATTCAAACTAACAAACGTTGAATGCCCAGAAAACTGCCAGCTAAACAAGAAAACTGTAACTTAAGAGGAAGTGCGAGCGAGGCAAGCCTATTAGTTCCTGAATGTCCTACAGGATCCTCATCAAGGGCACACTCCTGCGAAAACTTTTCTCTTTTTTTGGAATTCTCGGTAGAGCTAAGGACGTTTAGAAGAAATGGATAGGGTATGGCTGAAAGGGTGTCAGATGGCTGCATCCACAGCTTAATTCCCTCCCGCAACCACCACAGAAGCACATTCCATTGGTTGGAGAGAGTTCGCGCTCATGCTACTGGAAAGTAACCAGTGCAGCGTGTACTGTGGAGGCGGATGCGACGATGCTCAGGGGTGCAGCCAACCTCGAAGCAACAGACTGAAATAAATGAAGCCCTACCGGAAACCGTGCCCGAAAGATCTCTCTGCTCTAGAGTAGGAGCTATCCTACCAATATGGCAAACTTACTTCTTTTTTACTATGAGCAATTGCATAAGAGCACCCCATACCCTCAATAATATGAGTGGACTAACAGGTACATTGACGACCTCGTAGCACTTAGCGACAAATTGACCAGGAAAATATTAACAACATTTATACAGATTTTATGCAGGTCGAGGAAACAACATCTCCGCCCTTCAATGTAGCTCAATATTTAGATTTAAATTTGGAAATTGCTCATGCTAATATCATCACCAGCATTCATGGTGAAAGAATAGATTTATTCCTTTGAAATCTCTAATTGCCTACTTTCCGATCAAACATGCTAAAATACATCATTGTCAATGTAATTAAGTCTGAACCTAGTCGCTACCTCCAAATGTGTAGCAATTCTGAGAGTTTGGTCTTTGTAGTCTCTTGCATGGCAAACTACGGAAGAACGGCTATGCCGCATGGTTCTTCAAATAACAATTTGCCTTCTTTAAGAAAACCCAATATTTAATTATGGTAGAAAAGCTCGAATTCGAATAAAAAGAAATGGTTTCATAAACTCTTGATATTTACATTCAGGAGGTGTTGAGAAGATTGTCTTTTAAAAAACAGTTTCCTGAGTCATGTATTCTCCTGTTACACTGTTTTATTAGACTTTTTACACCTGTTACACTGTTTTATTAGACTTTTTACACCTGTTACACTGTTTTATTAGACTTTTTACACCTGTTACACTGTTTTATTAGACTTTTTACCTGTTACACTGTTTTATTAGACTTTTTACACCTGTTACACTGTTTTATTAGACTTTTTACACCTGTTACAGTTTTATTAGACTTTTTACACCTGTTACACTGTTTTATTAGACTTTTTACACCTGTTACACTGTTTTATTAGACTTTTTACACCTGTTACACTGTTTTATTAGACATTGAACTTTTTTTTAAATCGCCCTCGATCACCCGGTCGACTGCAGCGCCCTCTATCGGGATGCAACGCCATCGTGCGGAAGTGAAAAAAGAAACTCATGAATTCATGAACCTCTCTGTCATGTATCAGCTGGATCCAACTGTCCTTTAAAAAGTTAAAATTTCAAAATGCATTGAATTTTGAGACGGTCGAGTAGAGGTCGAGGCGGTAGGAATTTCTACGATTAGCGGGATTCATTCCCCCGTCGCCTAGATTGGTTTGGATGGGATAGGCACCATTGGTATTTCCTTTTCACTATCTGTGCGCCGTGGTGGGAAGCAGGCCTCTGCCCTACCAGATAATCGCTTAATAAGCCGTTCTTTATTAAACATAGGACTCAGCATTCTATATATGTGTATCTTTTTCTAGACCTGTGCTTCGCGACGTTCCCGCTCCCGGACAACAGCGCCAAGCAGGCGACCGGGAACTGGACCGGCGCCTACCCGGGTCGCCTCGGCGACACAGCTTCGTTCAGCTGCAACACCTGGTACATCTTCAGCAACGGGGCGGGCACCGTGCACACGAAGTACTGCGACTTCGGCAACACGTGGACCGATATGTCTGGGATGAACTCGAAATGCGTCGGTGAGTACTACTAATAATATTAATAATAATGAAAAATATGAGTGACAGTGAGTGAGATTCGGCATTTCAGATCAATTCCTCACCTCTCTGGGCCCGCTGCAACTGGATCAGGTGAACCAGAACTGGAATCAGTACGTGACAAAGGACACGAAACCCTGGTGGAGGTACCATATGGGCGATGAACGGACTGTCACTGGCATCTACGTCAGATTTAACGTGGATTTCTACGGTATGTAACCTCCAGTCAAATGCAGGATCTACAATACCAGGATTAGAATGTAGACTCAAATTCTCAAATAATTATTAATACTCCACCCTCTTATCAGCTGCGACAGAAAATTGACATTTTGCAATTCTCTATGAAAGCAAATTCGTTGATGTCTTGAAATGACCGTGGACGAGGCAGGGCCTGACCTTTTTCCCTTACACTGCGTTACGGCAGAGACGTTCTGGAGGATATCCATGAGGTAAATGGCCTTTTTTGCCTTCCAAATTTTTCGTAGAATGTCACAGCGCAAACAACCTGGAGGTGCGAGTTGGATACACGGACTGGACCCCCGAGAACACGAACTGGCTGCAATCCAACGCCCTCTGCACGACTTTCGCCGGAGCCAACTGCCTTGACGACTGCACCCAGTACATGACGCTCAACTGCAAGGCCCCGCTGAAGGGGAGGATCTTGTCCATCCAGAAGGTGGATGTCGCAGGGTATATCTATTCGACGTGGGACACGTCCATTCCCTGCGAGTGGAATTCGGGCGGGTTCCCCTCCGATCTCCCGCTCATGCACATCTGGATCCTCTTCGGCTGAATACGGACAAGCGACTTCTGCCTTTCCCCTGGGAGAATTCCATCATGGACCGATTTCTCGACTTCCCCCTGGTTACGAATAAGAAATAGAAGGTTACATTTCGGATTCGGTTGATTCTATTGCGGCGGCGAAGGTCAGTCGAATCTCACCATGAGTTGCAAGAATTCGAAAAGTAGCAATTATCATCCACTAAACCTAAACTGAATCGTGCATCGCAATTCGATCGTTCCATTTTTTTTTCACTTAAATCATTACGTATTCTGCAAATCAAGACAAATCGGCCGTTATGGGAGGAATCCCAGGGAGAACATTTTCGACTCACGGACTCGGATTTCTTTCGTTTCTCGGGGTGCTCGAGGTCTCCAACAACAATGGGTGCTTGTAACACCTTTCCAACGGACCGGGAACACCATTGGGGTGTACGGGCCTCGAGCACCTCCAACTTCTTTGGGGAATGGGGTATCTCATCAATAAAACGTATCAAAAAACGTTGCTGATCAAATCGATTAAACAACATGAAGGGATCAAAGAAACTATCCGTAGCACACATGCAACCGAATAAAACGAACCCATTTCAAATATGTATCAAGTGCAAATGATGTGTGACTTGCGTAATGACCAACTATACGCCTTTACATAATAGGAAAAAAAATTGAGGAACTTCTCAGAAACGTTTCCTAACAGGGTTAGTGCTTCGAAGAACCTGCATTATTTGGAATACAGGATAACTACGTTTCAATTTCTGGATTCCCGATGTATACAGGTCATTGATGAACTAGCAACACACTCTCTCTTCCAGGAGCGAAGTCTAGCATAACCATCATAGGTGATGGCGGTCAGTTTTTTTTGTAATTTGAAAATAGCGTTCTGAAATTGTGTTGAGTGGTAAGGGCACTCATAGGTGGCATTCAGGGAAGAAATAAATTATTCGGGCGATAAAGACAGACAATGCATGTAATAGCCCATGCATGAAGTGTCCCTTGTATGGAGTGAACCATATATTGTGTGATACACACGGGACGCCCAAGGAGTCGACATGTCGCCTGAAGACGTACCCTATTGAGCCATTGAGCCACCTTTGCAAGCTCGACAGCCCCCGGCACCCCAGAAGACGGCGTTGATGATCCGATTCGGACGAAGGAGACTGAAAGAGACACGCAGAAGGGGATGCCAAGGAATGGAGTATGCAAGGAATGGAGTATGCAAGGAATGGAGTATGCAAGGAATGGAGCTTGCACCGAAGAACACGAGACTGGATCTGGAAGGAAGTCAATAGAAACAGGGAAACTCACCGTTTGAAAAGTAAGCCTGCAGCCTTTTGGGCAAGGACCGGTAGCGAAACCAAACGGAAGAAAGGACACGCGCAGGCGAGGATAGTTAGTTTAATGGAAACTGTATTGTTTAAAGATAATAACTTTTAAATCGCGACTGGAATTCACACATTCCCCAGAAAAGTACTCTTACTCTCATGACTGGGATCTCCTCAATCCCAAGAACAATGGTGTATGTACTTCTTTATTTTGGACATCAATGTACCCATTGCTTTCCTTTCATTTGGACAGTACATTTGATAGCGGTTGTCATGACAACGGATTTAAAAGGGGAGCCAATAAAACCCGCTCGGTATTACACACTTCGGGCATTTAAATACACCTTTAAAGGGTTCTGAAATTCAGCAATCTTTCAACAATGTCAAATGAAGGACACGGCACATTCTGATCTCACATTTCCTTTCTTGAAGATTGATCTGGTCAACTCCTAGGCAACCTAACGTCATTTCATCAGATAGTTTCCAGGGGAGAGGTCTTACCAATAATTTGAGGGGGGGGGGGGGCTTCATGACGAATGAAATGATGTCTCTCAGAAAATGAAAGGCTCCAATCTGAAACTTCGTTACCTAAAAAAAAAACCTTGAGCTCCCTTTGCTTTTTAAACCCCAACCGCCACCACCTCCATTGTCTCCACCACCACCTCCAACACCTTCGCAACCACCTCCGACTTATTATGACTTATTTGAGTCGTCACCTTTAACGCGAACTGCAAGATGAGCGGCAACACTCATTTGAAATGAAATTACAATATTTAGGAAATGGGAAAGATAAATCAATAAGAACATAAACAAATGAAGCAACTGCTAACCTCAACCTTCACTAAAGAACGTCCGTTTTTAAGTGAACATAAAAGCTTTAGAGACTGCCTAAAATATCTGGCTCTCCTCCCTCCCGGAGTAGCTAGGAAAAGCAATGTTAATAATAAATAAATAAATAAATAAATATTTTAAATAATAAAATGATAAAATAACGAAATGAAATAAAAATTATGAAAAAATGCCAGCAGACCGACACCCTTGCATGAAAAGAATACATTTCCCACCCAGGGACCGATTAAGAAGTTGTGGGGCCCCGGGGCAAGTGGATTTTTGGGGCCCCCAAAGACTTAGCCAAAAATAATTATTTAACGCTGACTTAATTCACGGGCAACTACGCATACTTATGAATCCAGTTTATTGGTTACCATATAATGCTCAGAGAGAATATATTTGTTTCCTAAATAAATAGAACAGGAATCTCTTGCCTTAAATCATCATTTTCCTCGCTTTCGCGGCAGCAAATTCGGAGATCAGGTCTTCGAATGAAACTTTCCTTAGGAGGTCGTGCTCTATGGACATGAGCGCCAGTGAATTCAAGCGAAGTTGCAGCATTGTAGATCGAAATTTGTTTTTGATGTATGACAGTTTTGAAAACGATCGCTCTCTCTCGCAGTTGGAGATGGGAAGAGTCAAGTAAAGCCGAAGAGCTATGGCAACATTCGGGAAAACATCTACCAAGCCTCAATGAAAGACACTAAATGTTCCGATTCACAGTAAAAGGCTGGCTCTAAAGCTCTTGGGTAAGCTTGAATTAATGTTTCAGCCTCTTTTTTTTAAGATCTTCCGTGGAGTCTAGTTTCACTCCGAACAGACTGGTCACCTCACTGCAAGCAGATGATCTTCGTTCAAGTTCGACCTTCAACTTGTCGATGAAAACGTCGAAAGTTTCAATCCGGAATCGATCTCGCCCAGCCGCTTTCAACTCATCCTTGTCGAAACATTCCCGAAGTTTGGCAACGTCGTCAATGAGGGAGACAAGCAAGTTTTTCCCAGAAACGACAAGCTCAGGTTTCCGTAATTGTTTGCTCACCCTATCGAATCGTTCAAGGATCTTGTTCCAAAGAACTGTCATGAATTCAAGAGTCTGCATTTTTTTCATGAGAGATTCAGCTTGCAGTTTTGTGTATCGTGCTTTTCATTGGTGTCGTTGACGATAGCACGTAATGCCTCGAAAATGCCATTATAATATTGTGCTAGAGCTTTGGTTGCCTCTTCCCTCGACGACCAGCGCGTCTGGGAGAGACTTTTGACCGGAGCAACGTGCCTGCCGAGTCTTTCAGAAATGTTGAGCGTCTCTTCGATGACGGCCCAACGACGTGTGGAATTCGCAACAAAAAAAAAACACATACAGCGATTCCAGGAAACTGAAAAATTTTCACCGCTTGAAGACGTTCATCAACGCTGTTTTGTCCAACCAAGTGTAGCGAATGCGCTGCGCACGGGACAAAGAGAGCATGTTTGTTGATATCTTTAATATGGGCCTGCAGGCCTTCATATTCTCCTGACATGTTCCTGGCGTTGTCATGAGTTTTTTTTCCCCGGCAATTACTTATATCGATGGCATTGTCTCCGAGAATAGCGAGCACTGTGTCTCTCAAAAGATTTTCCCGTGTGGCTGCGTATTGGTACGAAGGTAAGAAAACGCTCCAGAACCTCTCCACACATGCGGTAGCGAAATACTATGCACGACTGACCCACATTTGACAAATCAGGGGTGGAGTCTACTATGATGGCATAATACTTCGCTTTCTGAATCTCACTTCGGATGGCATTTTGCAATTCTCTCCCCATGAGTTCTATGAATTCGTCGCGGATTGTTGTTCTCCTTGCCCTTGCTCTCGCTTAGACGTTCGTACGCGATGAGAAGCAAGGAACCCAGCATCACCAAATATTACAATTAATGTCATTCCTCAATTTATTTGAACTTGATCCAGTGACTCTTCGATTCCTCCCCCCTTTCTTCTTTATTTGATTGGCCGACACGCCTTTTTTATTCTCCTACTTCTCATATCGAGGATGGTCGGAATATCGTAAATCTTCGTACATAAGTGCTTTCATGACTTCCTGTCCAACGCATTCCATCCATTACACCCGGCAGATAAGAGCTGAGTGAAACAGGCGTGCGATAGCTGTGGGAGTGAGCTACGTGACCTTTTATCCGAAGAGGTAGGGCACCACTGCCATTCGGTCAACCGCTGGCTATGCAAATTTTAATTTGTAAAATCCGCTACTTAACTTCCATGAATACTAAGAGTGGATTTTAAAAATCCGATATTATTATCCGATTATCCATTATCCGATAAGGCAGCTTTATTTCAGAGAAAATGCATTGTAAATCCGGTAAATAAAGCTGCATTATCAGATAGTTCTCTGTTCAAAAATCCACCCTTAATGTTTTTAAGTTCCTTCTGGGGCCCCCTGGAAAGTGGGGCCTGGGGCAACTGCCCCCTTTGCCCCCCCCCCCCCCTAATTCCCCTGTTCCCACCTCATTCCCTTTGGGCGAGCCAGACCCTGCGAATGTATGCATGGAATACACGATGGTCGACTCAAACCTTACTCTAGGTCTTCCGCCGTGTCGACTGCGCGGAACCTCGTGATGGCTTCGAATCGGGCTTGCGGGTTGAGATGGCTGAGACAGCCCGACCTATCGACTGGGCTGGCTCGGCCATGGTCGGTTTATCCGAGACATCTGACAGAGCGTCTTAACTAGACAAGGCATAACATTGGAAAGAAATTGAGTCTGTCTTTAATGGAGGAAATAATTGCTGAAATAATGACTTATCTTTTCTTTCGAAAGATTGTCTGCCCCGACTCAGTGTAGTGAGTCGATGAAGGGAAAAACTCTGCATCAGCCGTAGGGGTAAAAAATAAAAATAAAAAAAACACTGAAGTATAATTGACGTTGGCCAAAACGAGATCTTTTGAGGAGATGAAGTTTCACTTGTACGGGAGGTTTTCTTGTGTTCGCAGTTAAATAAGTACTAGTCCGAACAAAAACCGTGGAAGAATTTAAGGGCAAGGAATACGAACATGGCCATAGGGAGTAATCGCCCCACCCCCTGATCCCTGACGGGGAACCTCGCCGATCGAAGGGCGACTCAAAGATCAAAGCGTTACCGTAAATTCTCGCCTCGTAGGGCAACGTGGAATGTGATTCCGAACGTTAATAGCCTCATGCCACGCTGCGTTTACCTGTTACTATGACTATGGGAGAGCCGCCCAGCTAAGGAAAAAATTGGAGATGGCGCGCCCATAGGAACAGCATTGGCATGCGCGCTGCAATTGGAAGCCATGCTATTAATGCAGTTGGGCTCATGGCGCCCAGTCACCATTCACTCC